GGTCCTACTGAATCTAAATCTGTAATACCAAGTTCAGAGATAGAGAAAGAGTCCAGGAAGAAGTAAATATATGTATACATATGTAGAGGAGGCATAGTGGAGAAGTGGTTAGTAGCTCAGATTGAGGAATTGGAGAGCCAAGTTTGAATTCCGGTCAAATCCATTACATTCTCTTATATGCTAATATCCTTGGGAAAGGTATGAATCCACTTCTTCTTCTTTCAGCTATAGGTAAATAGCAGAATAAACCATTCTATAGCCTTGGATGGCAGCTGGTCTAGGAGAAGGAGAACTTTAAATTTAAAACCTGCGGAGTGTAATTTGGGGACTTTCTGGCACATAGTGCATCAGGTCTCGGTATTCAACCCTTCAAAAAGTGTGTTCCCCACTATAATCAAATCATATGTGCTGATGTCTGGGCTGTCAGTTCCTAAGAAATGAGTTGCTTGACACTCATATGTCAAATATGATGGGAGAATCCACCATACATATGTAAGTGTGCATCCAAATTTAGCAGACACTGTTTGACCACATAGTGAAGGAAGATATATTTGTTTTCAATGTAGCAAAGGATGGTTTAGCTGTGTAAGATAGTTGTGCAAATGTTGTATTTTGTCTCAGTAAGTTACGATGATCACTGCATCAGAGAATAGACAAAATTAATTTATCGACTCTGATATTGGTTGATTTTCTATTTTATATACACATTCAACCTTGAAAAGTTTGCTTGCTTTTCACCAGTTTATCGTTTATATCCCGATTCTGAAAGCTTTGGTTGGTCAAACTGTATTTTTACAAAAGGGAAAATTTTGGTCTCCTTGTTATTATTTGTTTATTTTTTTTTTTACATCCTAGTAGTGAAAGTTTTCTGATTGTTTGGTGGAACTATGGGTCTGTTTGACTGGCGATTTTTATTATCCATCTATTTTTTAAGGATGGTGAAGTTTCAATGTTCTTGTTATTTATTTATTTCTCTATCACCTCTATTAAGAAACCTCAAATAGGAAACTAAACCAGGATAGAGCCAAAACACAGATACACAAACACACACATATTTGTTACATTCACTTATACACAAATACTTTTGAGAAAGGTATGAATCCATCTCTTCTCCCAACTCTAGCTATGGACTGAACAGCAAAAGAGACTGGGTCCTTGGTTGGCAACTAGTTTACCACAGAAAAAAACAACCACTTATTGTGGGAAATCAATTCTTCTATATGGTGAATGCTGGACAATTTCCTCACAGATGAAAAGGAGGGAACAGACATATAGTTCTATAGAAGAATACTGAGCATATTATGGATGGAGCATGTTTTGAGGAAGTATTAAGGAAAATGGGAAAAAAAAAAAGATACTTAGAATTAGAAAGAGAGAGTTGAAATTTCTAGGATATATAATGAAGAAAGAAGGCTTCAAGAATTTGACACTCACAGGACATATTGAAATTAAGAAGGAAATAGTAAATCATCTATCTAATAAGTTTGTTTAATTGATAGTAGAATAGACAGAGTCAAAAGACAGATACACAAACACACACATGGATTGAGAAATTGGAGAGCCGAGTTCAAATTCCTGTGAGATCTATTACATTCACTTATGTGCTAATACACTTGAGAAAGGTATGAATCCTCTTCTTCTCCACACAGCTATGGTTAAATAACAGGACAGACCGAGTTCTATAGCCTTGGATGGCAACTGGTCTACTGCAAAAAGAAATGGCAACCTACTGCAGGAAAAATTCTGCCTTGTCAGTCATGTATCAAAAGATACATGATCACCTAAGCGTGTATTACGCATGGCACATAATTGACTGAATGGATGTTAGAACAGAGTGGGTTCAATATTCTTGTTTGGCAATCAGTCTACTGCAGAATAAAATGACAGCCTATTGTAGGAAATCTGCCTGTGTCTGTCACGAATCAAAAGTGACATAATCACACAAGCAAGTATCGGTTAAAGTCACCAAATATCATTTTTTTAAAACACATACCGTATTTTGGTTTTTAATTCCAGGACAAAAGGTACACATTGTATATAAGTAAATGTAAATAAACATATTCATTTCAGAAGTATGAAAAAAAAAACAAAAAAAAAATAAAAGAACTAACTATTCATAAATTAAGAAAAAAAATTAATTTAGGAAGAAATGACCATTTATTAAAAATCTGTATTAGAAAGATGTAAGAAATATTTCAAATCGATGTAATACATGAAAGGAATGTAGGCAGAAAGTACTAACGATCAATTGCAAGACGATAAACTCTGTTTTTTTTTTTTTTTTCAAGTGAGGCAACCCAAAATGTCAACTTCAAATTAGGGATGTCAGAATCAAGTAAATATAGAAATGTCAATATCTGGGAAGTATTTTAAAAGATGATAGAAAATGTGACAACAAAATCAGAAGGCACATTGGAATTTTGTAAGGTGCCTTCCAAAAGCTAAACTAAGTATTAAGAAACAGCAAACATTTATTAGAAACCAAGAAAAGAGTACTGAAATGCCATGTAATATTAATTCTCCTGTAGAGTAGTGAATGCTGGACAATTTCCTCACAGATGAAAAGGAGGCAACTGACATATAGTTCTACAGAAGAATACTGAGCATATTATGGATGGAGCATGTTTTGAGGAAGTATTAAGGAAAATGGTAAAAAAAAAGATAATTAGAAAGAGAGAGTTGAAATTTCTAGGATACATAATGAAGAAAGAAGGCTTCAAGAATTTGAGACTCACATGACATATTGAAAGCAAGAGGGAAACAGTAAGTAACCTATGTAATAAGCTTGTTTAATGGATAGCAGAACAGAGTGGGAAGGACGCTAAAAAGACATGTTGCTTAGAGTAACAAAAGATAGAAAGTTGTGGAGAGCTATGATCGCCCACGTCTTGAGGGGACATAGCACATAAATAAAGAAATCATAGAAATGTAAAAAATGTTTTTCAAATAGTATTGCATAAAAATGTATTTTTTTTCAAATCAGTAATGCATGAAAATGTAAAAATGTTTTTAAATCAGAAACACGAGGAGGGCTTTTTCTTCCATTAGCAAGGATAGCATTCCTTTCTCCCATAAAAATTTTGTTGTTTGTCCGTTTATGTGGCAGTGTGAATATGGTTATATTGGAGACACCTTGCAGATATTGGAGTGTAGGATTAAGCTGCATACCTCATTTTGGATGATAAATGGTCAATTACATCATATGACAACATTGACAGATACCCAGAAGATTCTGGATTCAGCTATTGGCCAACATCTCATTGATAATCCAGTCTGTGCTAAAACATTTTCAAATGACTGAGCACTATTTAAATGTACTGGTCCACTCATAAAAGATAGGGAAAATTTTCTGGAAATTGTTGTTGTAGATTAGCATACATAAAAGAAAATAAAAAAAATGGTTTAAACAGTTTTAAACATTCAGAAAATTAAAAGAATGATGCAGATATCAATGACTTGACACCTGGAAATAACAATGAAATTCAATAATTTTTCCTTTCTTTTTATAGTAAGTGGACCACTTTATTTAAGTAGTGCCAGTGAATGTTTTAAAGTGTTGCATGGGTGTCTTTTCATTTGAAGATTCTTTAATCTTTTTATTTTTCTATGATAAACCTTTGTCAATAAAAAAAAATTCTCTTTTCTCTAAAACATTACTAAATTTGGCCTACTTTTCTTTTTCTCTTCTTTTTTGTGAGATGACTGGTAGGTTAGACAACGGTTTTACCTCATTTTTATTGGTAGTTTCAGTTTATTGTTTAATCTTTTTGTGGTGTTTGTGAAGAAAAATTTCAAAAACCAACATAACTGACGATTTGGTGAAATGAACAAAATATACAAATTCAAATTATATCAGATAAATTATTAGAACATATTCTGGATGTTCTGCCATCCAATTGTGCAAGCTCGTTGTTTTTCTTTGTCCTTCTTGTCTTCAGTATGCCCTTTCTGTGCCAAATTCTCCAAGCCCTCTTTCCTCATTGTGTTCAGTTCAGCACTCATTTATATGACAAATTTTCCAGATTTATCACATTCACTTGCTTTCTTCCATGCAACACTTTGTCTAGTCAATGGTTCCAACAAGTTGGTGATACTGAAAAATTCTTCAGAGCATTCAAAACATCTCAGTAGCCATCAAACTAGCCACTGTACATAATTTACTCTTTCCATTATCTAACGGAAAGTGTAATGAAAACTGTATAGTTTTCTTCGCTCTTGACGACAAAGTTCCAATCTAGCAAATGCAGCTGAGGATATTGAAAAACTGATTCGTTATTTAAAAAGGAAAATTGTGCTGTGAAAGTTTCATTCTTACTCTATTTACAAGGCTTCCTCTTATAATGTCCTTGAAACGTTTATATGAACACAGATGTTGGCTAGCGTTTTAATGTCTTCTTAATTCAACGGGCTTCATTCATTATTCTGATACCAAGCTAGCCAACATCAGCTTTTGAAATTGTCACAATGACTGTAAAAACAATCTTTGTGATGGCATAAATAATGAAACATTAAGAATTGAAAGGTTGTGAATTCTGTAACTTTCTTAACCGTTTCTATACAGTATCGTAAAAAGAAATGTCTCCATCATCTCATTTCATATATATTTTCAGATCAATAGCTACAGCTTATACTTTTTCTATATGCTGTATACTTTCAGGACATAGGTGATCGTGGCTCACTACAACTTCCTATCTCATACTGTTAAATAAATTAGTCAGAATCTTTAAATAAAAATACAGACAAGACACTACTCAACATTTTAATTACATCAATTTATAATTTAATTACATCTCTATCTATATAAGGCAGGATGTGTGTGTGTGTAACGAATGCACAGCCACAATTTTCGACGGATTTATGCCAAAATTTACATGCACATGCTCCAAAGTGGAAAGGCCAAGACTGACTTTGGGTGAACTTTAGTATAAAAAACTCTTTTCCCAGATACACCATTATAAACCTGTTGCTATTTTGTCACTTTTACCATGGCAGATATTCCGATGAGCTCTGTCCTTGACTTCCAGAACTTTACAGATCATACATACTGTAAGACTTCCATGGAGTTGAATCATTCTAATGTTTCAAATATAAGAAAGAGTTCTACTCAGACAGCATTTTCCCAATAACTGCCACTTTGTGCAAAAAAACCCAGGTGGCTGTTTTCCTGAATATTTCAGTCTTGGCCTTCATTCATGAGGATTGACACTTGATTTATAAAATCCATATATATATATATATATATATATATATATATATATATTTGTGTATATATGTATTTATTTATACACACATATATATATATATTTATATATATACACATATATATATATATATATATATTTATTTATATACATATATATATATATTTATATATATATGTACACATACATACATATATATATATATATATATATATATATATATATATATATATTTATATATATATATATATATATATATATATATATATATATATATATATATTTATTTATATACATATATATATATATATATATATATATATATATATATTTTTTATACACATATATATATATATATATATATATATATATATATATATGTATTTATTTATACACATATATATATATATATATATTTATTTATTTATTTATTTATTATTTATAGACATATATATATTTATACACATATATATATATTTTATTTATACATATATATATATATATATATATTTATTTATACATATATATATATATATATATATATTTATACACATATATATATATATATTTATTTATATACATATATATATATATATATATATATATTTTTATATATATATATATATACATATATATATATATATATATATATGTATTTATTTATATACACATTTAAAAATAATAACAAAATACTAATGAACTTTGGATTATGTACCTAACGAGCTCTTTCCTATTTTCTATATTTTTTACACACACTTATATATATATATGTATTTATTTATACACATATATATATGTATTTATTTATACACATATATATATATATGTATTTATATATATATATATATATATATATATATATATATATATATTTATACACAATATATATGTTTTGAACAATAAAAAATATTAAAAAAAATTAACATTTTCAGACTCACTTGGTTGTATCTTAACGTTTTTTGTTTTGATATTTCAATTATGTTCCTTAACTAGTTTCAGCCAGCATGGCCATCATCAGGAGAAAAAAATCCTACTTGTTTGGAGCAGTGAACTACAGGAATGAATGGCTTTCTGAAGAAAATGAACTTTATCTGTAGTTTTCGTTTGTTTTTTTATTGTTAATTTTGGTTAGTCAAACAGCCTCTTTTAAATTGTTTTTTAAGATAGAGGCTAGGGAGATTCAGAATTCCCTTCTTGTACATTTTGACAGTTTTATTGGTTATTGGGAAGGAGATGTGTGTGTCTGTTAATTGTATGTTATCTTTTAATACTTTAAGAGTGTGTATGATGTATGTAAGTGCATATATTAGTATGGGTGTGTGTATAAGTGTGAGATCTCAACACCTCTGCAAGCATCTGTCTTGTGTGGGTGAGAAATGTGCTTGAGAATCAGAATATATTACTAAACCAAAGGAATTAGTTTGTATTCCAATGTCATCACAGGAGTAGATTTAAACTGGTCTAGAATATTATTGATCTTGTTTAATTTGTTATCCTCTAACACATATATCATTATGTCTATTCTATTCCAATCCTATCTAATAACCTTACTCCAAATTAGGTTTTTTCTTTTTTTTATATTCAATATTGTATTTATATTTATTAATTATTAATTTATATTTAAGATGTATTTTTATTTAATATTAATTTAATTTTAATTAATATTTTTTATATTTAATATTTATTTATTATTTTATATTTAATACTTATTAATTTATATTTAATAATTTATATTTAAGTTTTTAATCTAATTTTATTTTTTTAATAATTTTATTTAATAATTATTTTATTTATAATTATCTTATTTATTGTATTATATGTATTATTATTTGTATATTATATATTGTTTTAATTTTATTTTTAATTTTAGATGTTAGCTTTTGCTTAATATTTTTTCAAAAATCTTATTGAGATGTTAATATTTTAAAATATAGGTCAAAGTTATTTCAACTGTCTTAAATCAGACACTCCTACTTCTCCTACATGACATTTATGTTGATTCTCTTCTGTTGCTCCCTTTTGAATCTTCTTTTTCTCTTTCTTTTTTTTTCTTTTTCCTTTTTCTCTCTTCTTCTATTATTCTTTAAATGTTTAAATTTTAAGCTGCTATTTTGTTTTATCTCTTCAAACCTCTGAATTGATAAAACCTACAAGTAAGTCTTGTAAGCCGAAA